CTGAAAATTTCTGTTGTTGTTCGATAAAAAGAGACATATTTATGAGATGAAGCGAACTAAAAACGTACTTGTCCATACTGTTTATTAATTTTATTGTTTTCATATTTGTAATTGTCTTTGTCTTTGATTAAATGACGAAATACCTCGTTTTTTTCTTGAAATAATATCCAAATAGTATTCTTTATAAAAAGTGCTGTGGAGTAGTTTTACTAACCAAGAGAACATTTTTTACAATTGTTCTTTTTTGCAAATGTTTCGGACTTTGTACTTTGCCCTCGCGTGACCTTTTTTCGATTTTTTACAAACGTACAATGCCATATAATAAAAAACTTACTGACCTCAACCGTTCGGGCAGTACGAGAAAATATCCAACCTCGGTCTTGCTGTATTGACCTCGCTATCGCTCGGTCAATACAGCAAGACCTCGGTTGGATATTTTCCCATACTGCCCTCACTCTCAGTCAGTAAGTTATTAACACTTACCATGTTATCCTTTTTTGTATTTTATAATAGTAATGTTTTGCCTCATGACATAACCAAAAATCGAGTAAAATAAATCGCCTATAAATCGAGCATCAGATCGAAATATTTAAAAGTTAAAAATTTTCCGTGCTTGTAAAACTGCGACATCGCTGTAAACATTAGGCAATTTGGAGTCTTTTGGACATTTCAGTTGCATACTGTAAGTTCGGAAAGAAAGATAAAACAACCTTTAACATAATAAAAATGGAATTTTCTGCTTGTTCCTTATAATTGAATATTTTCCCTAACTTTTATCTTGCATTTGAATGTCTGAATATGTTAACGAAAATGTTTCCAATGTTTTCTAAATTGACAATTGTTTCCTAACTTTATCAAAACAAGGTCTGCACAAGTTGTGTCATTGTAAATTACGCAAGTGACCTGGTCATAAAACTTTAAATTAAAAAAAGCCCACAAAAGCCTATTTTCTAACCTTTTCAGGTCGATAGTATAACTAATTATAAATAATTTAAAGGGTTGAAGTTAACTTTTTTTCCACTCGGTGTGGCTAAAAAACACAACTTTGTCATTGCCTGCAAAATGTAAATATGTTTTAAGATAAAATCGCTATGCATTCAAATAATTTCACAGTTTAAAAATGCTTTTCTAACTCCAGCGATGTGATTTGCAATACTAATTAATTGCAAGCAGGCCTTAAAATATCTTTTACAGGGCCGTCTGACAAAATGTCCGGTGACGTTGAGTTTGGGTCGGACATATGTCCGATGACTTTCAGTTCAGTTTTGACTCGGAAATAAGTCTGAATGACACAAATGAATAAACGGCAAATGTTGTAAAGATTTGTTTCTTTCATACTTATTCCAAGCCAAAATTAACTTGCGTGTTAAAAAAAGACTACGACAACTTAAGTCCGTTTTCCACTTCACCATTTCGCTCGCCGCCCCGCGCTCGACTCCGTTAAAACAACATTTCCAGTTCACCTTTTATACAATAGTACTCTGATTTTCCATTTAACATACAAGCCTCTAGTTGTGGGCTAGGGTACATTTTGATTTACGTCGGACAAAGCTACAGTTCGGTCGGACACCAATTCACTCGGGTCGGACAAACAATAAACCTCAGTTTCATTTTGGTCGGACAGAATGTCCGGTGGTTTCCTCTCTACGTCGGACAATTTCACGAATGGGTCGGACAATGTCCGTGACCGACCGATATTTTAAGGCCTGGCAAGACTCTCCATTTTATAACAAGTTAATTTTTTTCCATTTTAAGGATAGATTTACCTTAACAAATTGTACTTTTTGATTGCCCTTTAAATATTTTTGTTTCTTGTTTTTGCTTCGCTTCATCTTTAAAAATCCCGCTTGATCCGCGCATTTCGCACGCTCGCGCCAGTCTCCCGTGCATCACACATGGATCAGGCAAATATTAGCGCGTTTCACCGCCCGTGTTTTACTACGCCCTGTATAAATTGAAGCGCTAAGGCCTGCATAAACGCGACACACCATCAGTTTTGTTAAATAAATTTGTAGATGCCGTTTAGTTTGAAATTTCGTCGGAACAATTCATTTCGATAATTTACTATAATTTCTGCTCTATTGTCCTCCAAAATTGGAGCAAAAGACATGGATATGAAAAACTGGAGAAGCACGACAAAAATGTCTCTCACAGACACGGCTAACGTTCCTTTTCCTCCTCCCCTGCAGTGATCATCCAAGAAGTCATAGTGCTGCGAGGAAATCTTTATGAACAGAATATTCTTTTTAGACACAATAGAGTTGTGCAAGTTGCTGTAGATATAGCTGCTATAAATTCAGTAAACAATGCATGCAGACTTTAATTTAGATAAACGATGTATGAATAATGGATTATAACCTGCGTTTCAGCTTTTGAAATGTCAATATAACAGCAACCCGCAGGAAACATTTATCACAAATATAGCGTTTGTATGAGATTAGCTTCAGTGAAAACTTTCATTGTGCTATAGTATGAATTAGAATCTCAAGGCAGGCAACCGCCCTCACCCGCCTTTACGTAACGTAAAATGTGCTTTATTATATATCTTACTTCTTTGTTTACAAATCCCACAGCTCTCATGCATGTGCATGCTTTCTAGTTACTTATTGCCGTTCTCAAGTATTTCTAGTTTTCCGCGAAGAGTCTATATTTGGAAGGTTTATCAGACTTTCAAGGCGTTTTGTCCCATCACCAGTAGGGCTGGGCGATATTTAAAAAATCATCTCACGATTATTGTCAAGGAAATTATCACGATATTCGATAATATTGCGATAAATGCAATTAAAACAATGACCACATTTTTTCAATTTTAATTAATATCATTGCATAGTAAGCTTATATATATAATTTTATTAAAACAACAAATTAGTAAAGTAAATTATGAATAATACTTATTCTAGTCTAATATTTACTGTTCATAATTGAACTGCCTATGCAGTATCCGCAATTTCATTGTTCAGCAGATTAATACATAAATATTAGCTTTTGTATTGTATTAAATTCGTATTTAATTCAGGAAATAGTTTTAATTCTTTTAAAAACTATATTTTCTAGGGAATTGAAAGAATTTTTTAGGATTTTATAACTGCTATACAGGGTGTATCAAAATAAACGCAATTCATTTTTTGTGCTTAATAACTTTCGAAATACTATTTCTAGTTAAACGCTTTTAGGCTTACTTCAAAGCCTGTTCTTTTCTCTTTCAAACAAACTATTATTCTTGTCTCCAATGCTAGTAATAATTGCACAGGAAAAGATTTAGTAAAACCTATCATTTTTAGTTGCTGTTTAATTATGCAAGTTTACTATGTTATTGTTTAGTCAGTTTAAATGTTAGAATTTTCTTCTTTAAACTTTAATGTTGTCGTCACTACATCTGGAAAACCACGTAAGATCAAATTAAAAGTATTTTAAAAGAGACCAGTTTGTTTGAAAATCTAAACGAATGCTAAAAATCGTCAAAACATTCTGATGTCTGAGCCAGAGTGTCATCGAATTGCGATGTAATGTAAACAGAAATTATAGCAAGTTTATGTCAGTCAGTTTAGATGGTCCAAGCCAAAATTATATCGCATTTGAAGTTTCAAACTGAGTTAAAAATAGTGGAAGAAAAGCCGTAATCATACTTATTGTTACAATCCATTTAATAAAATGCAACATTTGTTTGTTTTAATGAAAAAATCAGTTATTTTCATGAGAACGATTTGTTATTCCATCTCACTTTTTTTAATCTCCAATCGCAATAACGTAAAGTATTATTACCCGCGAACCAATGAGTCAAATTTAAGAAACAACCCACTGTTAGAAAGCTGAATGGCTACGCTTTAAAATGAATGTAAACTTTAACGTTTTCGTCTATTATTTGTTTAGCAATTTACATTTCAATCGAGGATTGCGCTTTTTTTGATACACCCTGTATACTCATGCGAAGCAATATCACGATAGTCATCGAGCATGACGATAATTTCGATATATCGTCGCTCAACTTTCTACCTTCGATACGATAATCGTGATTGAAAATATCGCGATAAATCAAAATATCGAAATATCGCCCAACCTTAATCACCAGATAACCGAACCCGAACATTTCTCTAGGTCTAGAATTACCCTGTATTGCTTTCATTGACATTTACATTTCCCTTCCCATTTCCGTATAAAATTATGTTTTTTTTAATTTGCTATTAAAGTGATATCTCAAGCACCTTCCTCGAACTCCCCCAAACAAATGAAGTTGGTGTTCATGGCCATGCACAGCCAATTCCGAAGGCATTTCTGTCATTTTGTAACTGGGTTAAAAGTTGGTCAATGTAAGGTGAAAAATCGACCACAAACAACACAATTGTTCGGCGGGCAACCATGAATGTACAAATGAATGTATGCATCGCTGTGCGTCGCTGTACAAACTCTACCACTATGCATACCTCGTTAATTTTTCCTCTATACTGCTTATTCCAATTGCTATGTAAACGAAACAAAGTAAAACGTATTGTTTCCAGGCATATACATGCCACAATGTTTCCACTCAAAGAATCCAACAGCTAATGTTACACATGGGCGTACCGGAAGGAAAAATTTAGGGGGGAGGAAAGAAAATTGCCCGACTTTTCGGGATTGTGCCCGACTAGTACTGAAATTTTTTTTCCGGAAAAAAATTTTCCGGACACCAAAATTTTTCGGAACATAACAAAAATTTTCGAAAAAACACAAAATTGGCCACAAAATTTACTTATGATTTTACACAAAATTTACAGAATTTATCCCATTTTTTTTTAATTGCAAACCAAAATTGCCCGACTGTTGATTGAATATTGCCCGACTGCCCAACAAACTGGGGCTACCGCCCCAAGCCCCGCCGCCCGGTACGCCTATGATGTTACAACAGACAGAGAAAGGGTGGCCTTGAAAAGTAACATCTCTGAATGGACGCTCATGCAAAGCTTAAAATCTGTAGTACTGACCAGTGATTAATTAATCGTCTCCGCTTTATTAATATGCAAATTAAAGATCAATCATCACCCAAGCATTCAGCCTGCAAATTCTTCATATTAATATGTTAATTAGAATAATAGAAGAGACAGTTCGAAGAGGCAGTTATATTAATTTTGAGCATGTATATAAAGTTAAATTAATCAAGGATTGTAAACAAGTTTTAAACTTATAAGAGTTTCCTGTCAACGATTTTTGTAGTATGCAAACAAGTGCATATAATAAGAAAGAAACCTCTCAAGTTTTTGACGCTCCAGACACATGCTTCCGCCTGACGGTAGCTTGCGTAGCAGGCGTTTAGTAAAGGGCGTCGTTTGAGGAAACTCCTGCCCAAATAGCTATGACAAATTAGTTTTCGCCCATTAAGGATGATTGACGTTTTGTAGTTAGCACCGTCACCCATTATCCAATCATAGTCGAGATTTATATTTAGCATCATGCATGCCGTTTGCTCGGCAACTAGGGAGATTTGCAGAGATTTTATGTACTATTTAAAACATGAGCAGCAGTGTTTTATCCAAAATAGAGGTGGTCTGATAAAACACGCACTGCGAATGTCTTAATTCTAGTAAGTTCATTGGAGAAATAACTTTCAAAAAATTCGTTGTGTATGTCCAAGGAAATCTTTATCGCATATAAAGATACGACGTACGGATACGACACGTTTATGATTTTTCTTTGCGTTTTCCTCATGAATTATTAATGACTTTTTGAAGCTACTTTAGACAACAGTCACAACATAGTCACAGACACAGAGCTTTTATCCTTTAAAAGACTTCTGAACAGGGGCGTAGGAACCTTCGAAAAGTTGGGGGGGCAGGCTTTGAGGGGCACTTTTCGAAAAAAAGGGCATCTCAAAATTTTTTTTGGCGACCTTCCCCCCACCCCCAAGGTCGCCAAAAAATTTTCGGTCAGTGTACCATTTTAGGGGTCCAAAAAAAATTTTCCGGACAAATCCTAAAAAATTTTCAGGATATACCACATTTTTTTCCTAAATACCACAAAATTTTTCTGGAATACCAAAAAATTTTCCGGATATATGATATTGTTCTCGTAAATTAAAACATTTTTCAGGAAATAACGTAGATTGAAGTTTTCAAAAGTGCACCTTGGGCAAAAATACAATATTAATGAAAAATTTTTAGGCAAAAAAAGGGCACTTTGCTCCTGGAGAAAGGGCACTTGCCAAAATCCCCCGGTTTCTACGCCCCTGCTTCTGAATCACTAACAGTTGAGCTTGTTTTGAAATGTTAATATTCTTTATAAAATCATCGTCCAACTTCATAGCTGCAATGCCAAGTAATGGTCAGTAATGTAGCCTCAACAAATATCTGATGATCAGAGCTATTAAAATATCATGTAGCAAGCTTAAATAATTTGCCGATATATTTAATAATTGTATAATTGAAACTCAAACTTCTCCGTATCCCGTAGGAAGAATCGCGATAACCGGCGTCTTCACCACGTAGCAAATTAATAATAGACTTTTTCTGTTCTGGTTTCAACTGAATTTCGAAGCCTAAATACTTGAAATATAAGAAAGAGTTTCCTCCAAAGCATTAACAGGCATATTTGTTATGCGAAATATACGGCTATCGCTATTCGATACGCGAGCAGAATTGTTGTTGACATTTAGTTACGTAATTACTTCCGTTAACGAGATTAACCAATGGGAAGCTTTTCCGAAGATTCTTCGGAGAAGAACAAATTTGTCATAGGCATTTGGGCAGGTGTTTATTTAACGACGCCCTTTCTTCTCCCGCCCGCACTAAACGCCTGCAACGCAGGCTAGCCTGACGGCAGCAAAATGTGTTGCGTTCGGGACCGTCAGTGTATGTTTCACCAGTAAGGTAAACTACTGCGTGCCATATATAGGACGTAGGATGAGCATCCAAAAGATGCAATATTCCGTTGCACCCCTCGTGGAACTACGTAATTTTCACATGAATAAATAGATAAAAACTTACTTTATCAGAACCGTTGCTCCCCAAGTGAAACAGATGCACAATTGGGAGAAAATCCCTCCAAAGTTTGATATTTTCGCGCTTCGAAATATTCGAACCGCCATTATTTTGGTAGCAAATACGCATGCGCAACTCAGCCAAACTCGCACTGCGCACGCGCAGACTATAAAAGTAGATTCTCACCGGGGGTTTCCCCGATTTCCTCCGCAAAAACAACAAAATAAAATCACGGAATACTGATCAACCTTGTAATATAAATACACCCACATTAAATATTGTTAAAAACACATTGTATATTTTGCTTGCCCATATGCTAAATCACTTCAATTCATTGGCTATTGTTCAAAATACCGTTTTAACGTTTAATTCTACTTTATATTAACATCCTAATTCAATACAAATTTGTGTGAGGTAAAAAACCCACCTGTATCAAACAGGAAGGGGAATAAAAATATATATGCATACAATTCACATGATCAAGGAACAAATGAAATATTTCGCTAAACTTAAAGCCTTGGCCAAACGTAAGAAACAATGTCGCGGAAATATTCGTGATTTTTAATTGGCTTTTATTGCAGACGCAAAATTTGCTTCCCAGAAAGCAAATTATTTCCTACCAAATTCAGAAGCATTTTATGAAACACTCTTTATCCGTTTGCCGACGCTGATAAGACAATATGACATACCGAAAGATTGGAAAGACAAATAATATGACAACAGTGTTTCCCAGTTCGTCCCGGGCTTTAAGGGATATTTATATAAACTCGAAATTCATCATAAAAAAGATAAATTGGGAGGAAATATAAAATCCATAATTTCATTATAGCTATCTACAATAAAAAGAAATGTTTTCAGCTTTGAACCCAGATTTTCATCAGAGCAATGAAATCCCACTTATTGCATCCTGGCCAAGGGCTTGCACGCTCAAAACAAGATTGCATGTATTCTGCAATAACCTGTCCTGGCTTTTGTCCGGTAAAGTTCTACTTCTCGTATTTGAACTATTACATGTATTATATTTATATTGTGACATAAGTTGGTATTTAGCTACTATCTAGAATAACAAGGAACGATTCAGCCTGTTTTTTCGTGTTCACACTAGTTGACTTTTTCTTATAGATTTGCTGCTGTGAGTTTCGGCTCCTCCACCAGGGCATAGATTATAGATCATACCAGATGTCTGACTCAGCCAAAATTGTGTCCGCGATTTTTTATGAGCACGCTTTGGCCGCCATTTTGACAGTAAGTGTAATCCACGCCATGAAACGTGAGCAATCACGCATTTTTGGCAGTAAGCGCCATTTTGGCAGTAAGTGTCGCACGCGTCATCTGGCGTGATAGCTTCGCGAAAATCGCGGACACGAAAATCATAGCGACAGATAATTATACAGTGAGACATCTGGTATGATCTATAATCTATGACCAGGGTGCGTTTTAGCTTCTCAGACATGACCATACTGTTAACTCTGTCCATGAGAGGGATATATGTGTTGATAATATAAATACTGTGGTCCGAATGAGAATATCAAATAAGTAAATAAATACTGATTTACTCCACTGATAATACCTACCTGCATTACCATCATTGTTCACCTCAAATCATTAAAAATTCATGAGCAAATTAGCCAACCATATTGATTTATTTTGCTCACATGATAATACTAGACACTTTATGAAGTATATTGATCCTGTAGTGTCCTAGGACTGGATTAAAATTAATTCAGTCCTTGGACTGGATCAAAATGAATTAAGTACTGATTTATTCGTATGAGACGTCATTTCAAATCCTCCAATTCGGACTGGACTAGATTTCAAGTCCTAAGGCCTGGTTTAGACGCCGTGCTTATCATGAGCCGAACTTAATGTTAATTAACTAAGTTCTTTGTTTAAGCTCATTTGCATTAAGTTCGGCTCATGAAAAGCACGGCGTCTAAACCGGGCCTAACATTTTGATCCAGTCCTCGCTTCGCCTCGGACGTGATCAAATTGCGTGGACTTGAAATCTAGTCCAATCCTCATAGTAGGATTTGAAATATTATCCCTTGTCAAATCAGATGCCAATGGTGGCCAAGGAAGATTCAGTTTTGGTATTTCTTGCACCTTTTGGTGAAGAATCAATGCAGCATTGTATAGAATTTGTAACTCATTGACTTTAGAATTTCCTGTGTTGGAATTCACATCATCATCATCAATGGTACAGCTCTCTTCATCAAAGTCCTCATCATTGTTTTCAGACTTAGGGCCTGCTTATGTGGAAGCCGGGCTGGCCTGATAAGCGAGACAGCCCGGTAAGCAAGATCTCGCTGTGTAGTTATTTTTATAGTAAAAATTATTGTGCGTTTATATGGACAAGCGGGCTGGCCCGGCTGCCGAGATCTCGTTTGAAATAGGCTAGATCTCGCTTACCGGGATGGAAATTTCTCCATATAAACATTTACAAGCGGGCTATCCCAGTTGCCGGATGAAAGTTCAAAGATACAGCCGCAAGCTATTTTTAACAACTGTCAAAACAATACAATGTAACAAAATTGTCCCGGCAAGCGGGATGAAAGTTTCTCATATAAACACAAGAGAAATTCATCCCGCTACCGGGCTGTCTCGCTAAGCGGGCCAGCCCGGCTTCCATATAAACAGGCCCTTAATTGACATATGTTCCTCAACCAATTCAGAAGAATCCAAATTTTCCACATATACAATCTCACTAACATTTCTCATTTTCGGTACACAGAACACAAGTTGGGAATAACTTTTCATCAGTCGTTGCTTGAGTTTAAAAGCTCTATATTTATTTAAATGCATCCACATTCTCAGTGTCCTTAGCAATGATAACAAATTTCTCCAGCAAATCTTTCATATATTTTATTTGCTTATTTCCGATGACCTCCATCTCAATTACTTTCTTACAGAAATATACATCATAAGACTTCTCGTACACTGATGCTCTCGTTGCTTCTTCGTCTCTCTGGTGAGAAATATTGTATAATTGCAGTAGCAAACTTTGTGATAGCGGACTTCCAGAGCTACACAGTCTTTCCCCTGGATTTGCACGAGTATCTGTTGATCATTCTTTCTCTCGGCAGCTGTACGTACTAGAAGACCAGCATCAATTGTTTCTGCCAACATGAGTGGGGTTCTTCTTCTCTTCTTAGTTACCTAGTGTGAAACAAAATAAATTATTAAACTAAATATCTGCTAATAACAAGGTTGGATGTTTGTAGCATAGAAACTACTTTACCCTAAATAAACTTAATTGATCACAATTCAATATATTTTAAAACCAAACCTGAGAATGTTGTGCACATTTCGCTAGTATTATACCTATCAAAATGACCATACCTTGTCTAATGAGAACCACGAGGCGTCTCTTCCACAAATAATACATGTCTCTGGGAGTACATGCGCGTTTCTTTTAGGCAGGGTCTTTATATTTGTAGCTTCTGCGACTGATTGAGGTGTAATTTTTCGCCTTGGTTATATTGCCTCCACTTCCACGTGTGAGTTTGGCTGAGTTGCGCATGCGTATTTGCTATCAAAACAATGGCGGTTCGAATATTTCGAAGCGCGAAAATATCAAACTTTGGAGGGATTTTTCTCCCAATTGTGCACCTGTTTCGCTTGGGGAGCAACGGATTCTGATAAAGTAAGTTTTTATCTATTTATTCATGTGAAAATTACGTAGTTCCACGAGGGGTGCAACGGAATACGTTTTCTAAGTATCTTTTGGATGCTCATCCTACGCCCTAATACAGGAATCGCGAAATTCGGGCAAATATCACAGTCAAAGAAAAACACGTAGCTGTGACTGGATGATTTAAAATATGGGTATTTATAAGTATTGAAATGTTCACTCATGCATTCATGATTACATATTACTACAATATATACAACACGAATGCATGACTGAACATTTGAATACTTTAATATGCATATCTTAAATCATCCAGTCACGGTTACATGTTGGTCTTTGACTTTGGGCTTTGCCGACTCAGAACGCGTCATTTGGATGCGCAATCGAATTTCGTGATTCGTATATGCGCAGTATAAGTGTCAATCAACCATTGAGCTATGATTACACAGTCATTTTTATACTGATACTGCAGTATTTCCACAAAACTACAAAAGGTCTAAATTTAATATAAGAATGGTTACAGTTAAATTCTACAGAATTAAGTTGTCTAATTAATGTCTTTCATTAATTATAATGGTTACAGTTAATTTCTCCAAAACTGCGCACCATATTATTATGACAACATTTTGACTTTTGAGATATACTAACCAGTATAAGTGTATGTCAAAACCACTAAGCTATATGATTATGCATTTTTATGTACCGTATTTCTACGAAATGGCTTTAATTATGGAATTGCTATATGGTTTATTTCTCTGGAAATAACATCTCTAATTAATGCATGCCTTTAATTAATTAATGGTTACAGTTAATTTCTCCAAATTGTAGTGCACCATTTATGACACCATTTTAACAAGTTTTGAGACATGCTCACTACAAGTGTCTATACCAATGATTATACATTTTTATATATGCTGTGTCTCTACAAGATGTCTATGATTAAGGAACGGCTACGGTTAATTTTTCCAGAATTTCTGTTACACATTCTATTAGAGACTGCACATTTCAGACATTTACAAGTTCTTCCCCCAGATGCCCATTCCAATTGTTGCTTCTGGCTTGATTGTTCTCTCCACGGCCTTCATGGCCAGAATTCGAATTACCAGGCTGCAGATATGGTGGTGGATGACTGCAGGCTCGTGTTAGTTGTTGTGGTGGTTCATTTGCTGTGGTCATTACCAAAACCTGGGCTTGACCTGACTCACTGGATACAAGTGCAGTGTAGAGCTAGAAATATAATGTTAATTGAATAGGTACAACTAGAATCGAAAAACACGGGTCAAGCAATGGGTTGCAATCATGCAATCTCAAGGATTTAACAGAACAGAGAGGTATTGGAAAAAATTTAGAAAATCCTTTACTTTTTCAAACTTATTCAACATGTGGCAGCAATGACGTAGAGTGAGAACAATCTTTAATTACATCTAAATAATATTTGCAAACCGAATTCTAAAACTAATCATGTCCTAATTCTACAACCCCATTTCTAACCCGTATCTGATGATTTATCGTAATGATTTATCGATTAAGTTATTCTAAAATAAAACTTAATGCTATTAAGCAAATACTATACTGCGTGGATGTATTAAAGTGTTTATGAAAAGGAGTAGCTCAAATGATGAAGAACAACGTTTACACTGGTTATTCCGATCTTATTTCAAATTTATGCAAATAATAAAAAAAGCTTTCTTTGACTTTTTATGCGACCAGACTGCGACGTTTAATGGCCCAATGCAGTGGCGTAACCAGAGGCTAGCCTTTGGGAAGAGGGGAGTTTTTTGCTTTTGCAATAGGGACGCCAAAGGTGCGAGGAATCTAGGGAGGTTCGGGGGCACCTCTCCCCCGGAAAATCTTGAATTTCTAAATTCAATAGAATGCAATTAAATATTAAATTATATTGTAATAAAAAGAAGACTGCTAACACATTTGATATTCGCTAAAGCCGAAGTGAAGAGCTCAGACTAATATCACTCGATCCGTATCACTATCAGACTAATAAAATGAGCTTACTCGTCAACCAAAACGTTTGTTGGTTTTTTCGAAGATAAACCACTTGCATTTTGCCAACCGATAACTTTAAAAGAATACTGGGTTCAAACCAAACGTTATCCATCCGAAGGTGCGAAAGTAGAGGTCGACTACGAAAAGGAACTTTACGAAGCATAGAAAAAATTATATTTCTAATATTAAACTTACCGTGAAACTTTTCGGTAAGTTTAATTATATTAGAAATATAAAAATATAGGTCCGCAGCGCTTGTGTAGAAAAACGTGGTGTGAAATCGCTAGCATGAAACATTTTCCGAGGTTTCCCACGATTTGTATATGAAAAACGAAACGCGATAATTTCCGACGATCTACGAATAGAACTCTTTCTCAGATGCGTCCTCGCCCGCAGACGCAAAGCGGTCGCATGCGGCGCGCGCACGTGGACGCACCGGCATGCAAGCGCCCGCAGACGCACAGTGGACGCACGGCGCCGCAGGAAGGACCTATATATACCGGGTGGCGGAAAAAAAAGTTAACCTGTTTGATTTATTTTAACTTAAAAACTAAAAGAGCTATTACACCTAAACTACGTGCATTGCATTCAGTATTGTCTGACTTAAATTTTGATATACGCCCTGTGTAATTTCGTGAAATATTGACCGAGAGAGCTGCGTTTAAACTTGAATAAACATTTTGGAAAGTGTCGAGAATTAGCGAAAAACGGCCGTTAAACTAATTTGATAATCGTTACCATTCTATCGTAAATATTCGTTTCAATGAAGTGAAGTTTAAATTAACAATGTTTATTGGATGGATGTGCCCTTTTATTTTTGCTTAAGGTCTTTGGGAATGCATGAAAATTAAATTATGAAGCGATTTTGATTGAAAGATATATTCTAAATATTCAATGACCCTGGGGAATCAAATTTTAATGTTCCAAGAAAGAAACGTCAAGTGTTTTTTTATAAATACGCCTCGCTTAACGAATGACCAAAGAGTTTCGATATGTTTAGAATATGCAAGGGCAAATAATGCTCATGAGGTTATATCGGCGGCGTTGGGCAGGTCTTTGACAACGAACGTGTACTTTCTGACTATAGTGCGTCTAAGCACAGGTTATTGCTTGTATTAAATATTTAATAGGCCGTTTTTGGCTAATTCTTGACCCTTTCAAAAATGGTTACTCAAGTTTAAACGCAGCTCTCTCCATCAATATTGCACGGAAATGCACAGGGCGTATGTCAAAATTTAAGTTAGACAATATTGAATGCAGTGCACGTGGTTCGCGTGTAATAGCTCTTTTAGCTTTTAAGTTAAAACAAATCAAACAATCAAACAGGTTAACTTTTTTTTGCGCCACCCGGTATATATATATATATATATATATATATATATATATATATATATATATATATATATATATATATATATATATATATATATATATATTTATATATATATATATATATATATATATATATATATATATATATTAAAAATGTTAAAATTGTAACCAGGATTAGACATATTATTAAGATGTAGAAAGGTTGACGCTGGTTAGATAAAAACGTTAAAAACTACGTTTATTTAAAAAGATGTTAAGACGTTTCGACCAGTAACTTAGGTCTTCGTCAGTTAAAAAGTTAACTAGGTTCAAAACTGAACAATATATACAGGTTCAGAGTTAATTGTTTTATACACATCCGGTATTTCGACATGGTCGTTTCCTGCGTTATGATCCTTGAGGGAATACCAAGCCTCTAAGAACAGACGTTCGCGGTAGTTTTTTGTTTTGTTGACAATGGTGGCATTACTGAAGTCAATTCGGTGATCGTATTGTTCAGCATGCTTAGCGATTTTTGAATATGGATCAAATTGCGAAACAGCTCGTTCGTGTTCTTTTATTCTAGTTTTTAATGCTCTATCTGTTTGGCCGTAATATGCAAAGTCACAATCGCAGCAACAGATTTTATAAATGACTCCGCTTGTCTGCTCGGGTGGTAACTTGTCTTTGGGCTTGGGGAATTGGTCTGTTCTTATTTTCAATTGGTCTGTTCTTAGAGGCTTGGTATTCCCTCAAGGATCATAACGCAGGAAACGACCATGTCGAAATACCGGATGTGTATAAAACACTTATTTGCTAATTAACTCTGAACCTATATATATTGTTCAGTTTTGAACCTAGTTAACTTTTTAACTGACGAAGACCTAAGTTACTGGTCGAAACGTCTTAACATCTTTTTAAATAAACGTAGTTTTTAACGTTTTTATCTAACCAGCGTCAACCTTTCTACATCTTAAATATATATATATATATATATATATATATATATATATATATATATATATATATATATATATATATATATATATATATATATATATATATATATATAACCAAAAAAAATTATATAATTAATCACTAATGTGTATTGCCAAAATATAAGCTTAAAACAACATCTATCGACAATAATTTACTATTTTTTAAATCAAAATTAATTTGAAGAATTTTACATGCAAATGGGATCTATTTTCAATGCAGTCTTGCACCTAATTCTCATGCAAAGGTACTCTGGTTGCCAGAGGTTCTCGTATCTTTCGCCTTATTCGTTCTCGTATCTTTCGCCTTAGTTTGTTCCGCTGCGAACCAGTGGCGTGCTGGGTACTATTTTTCTGGGGGGGGGCAGTGGGCTGTCAACAAATATGCGCCCCTATAATGTTTCGCTTGATAAACGAGGGCCGAAAGCACGAGCCGAGCGCCCCAGGTGCGAAGTTTGTCTAGGGGGTCCGGGGGCATGCCCCCCAGGAAAATTTTTGAATTTAGAGTCCCTGAAATGCCATTTCCTGGACTTTGGGGAAAGATTTGACAGAAATCTGATGGTCAGGAAACGGCATTATAACGTGTCGAAATTTGCAATTTGGTTTGAATTTAGTAGTAGTATAGTACTTATATTATGCAATGCCAACAACTTCCAGCGATTAATCTAATCCCAATTACGACATACAGCTACAACATACAATTACAATTACAACATACAGCTCTTTTATACAATAACACACGGACCCCACGCATTTTAAGGTTTCCCTGCCTGGCTGCCAAAAGGGCGCGTTTCAGCATCATTTCATTACTCACATTACTCATGATGATTCTAGCGCAAACAACTAAATTACGTACACAACTTTACATTATCATAGCTTAAACTATCTATTTTGCGCCGCTCTTGTGATTCGTGAAGCATAATAAGGGGCATAATACCAGCAAAAAAGAGCATGATTCCCGTGATCGCTTCGAAACCTGACCAATATTCAGGTGATGAGACATTGCGTGTGATCACAGTTCATATTTCTATATGAACGATTTCGTGTGTGTGAGCCGTGAGGTAGCAAATTAGCAAATACGGTTAGACAAAATACTCTATATATCACTTTGTCGCCTATGCGCTTAGTCTGTTTATAAGCCTATAAACACATCTTTTCTCGGCGGAAGTAACTATATTTTTTTGAATGCGTTTTTTCCCACCCACTTTCAAAACTCGGCGCGAGATCGGCGCCCCCTTTTAATTTTTGCGCCCTGCAAGAATTGCCAGCTGGGGGGGGCGTGCCCCCCGGCCCCCACTGCCAGCACGCCGCTGCTGCGAACTTGAAAAGGTTTTCTGCGCTGGAGAAGAGCTGCCATTGCGACATGACTTCAGTTGACCATTGACGGCTTGCACGACTTAGGGAAGCCTCACATATCGATTTTGTCCACGAGAAACGTCATATGTTCGTTTGGGGTGGGGGTTTACAGCTGTAACGTATCTCTGCAAAACATCATGGAAAAATTCGATAGATTTTTCGAAAGCCTATAACATTTCGGAATCATCTTTGCAGAATATAAAAAAGAAAACAACTTGATACAAACACCAGTCTATACATTTGTAATATCATACCTGTTCTATACATTTATATTATTACGCCTTCCTTGCATTGAAAACACTCAAATTTCAAGAAAAATGCGCTTAGCTATAAAAACTGTCAATATTTTAAAATGGAAAACTGGCTTAAACCATAGTCGAAGGACTACCATTGAATCTTGTGCGCCTGGGAAAAGACTCCTTAAAGTAATTTAAATTCAACTGTCTCGAAGACCAGTCAAATTCAATAGTAGAAAATTACCTTATGTGTACTATATTAAAGAACAAAATATCGATAACTATGTGTAACGTTTTTAAGGGGGTGGTGTAGGTGTGGGGGTTTCCAGAGAAACGAACATATGACGTTTCTCGTGGACAAAATCGATATGCGAGGCTTCCCTTAAGTGCATGTTCACTGTAATATTTGTAAAATATAAAGTGTTGCTCACTTGCTTATGATCGTTCAAGGTTTTAAATTTTGGTTATTCTTTGACTTTAATAGTTATTAATATGATTTATTTTGTGAATATTTTCCCGTTGTCCTTTAATAAGGACAACCATACTGGCTCCGTTGGCATATAGATATAGATATTATTATTTTACTTTTGACTTAGTTTATACAAATTTAACAATTAAGGTTGCTTTAATTTGCTATGTAACTCTACAATAGCTGTACATTGCAAGAATAATCTACATCGGTTTCCAATAAATAATCTACATGTTTAGGCTGCTTATTTTTAATACTTTACACAAGGCTGCCAAACAGATCTGAAAAGAGCTATTTTGGTAGTATGACAAACCCGCGGAAGTTTAAAACACGTCACAAAATATAAAACCGGCTTTGCAAGTTCTCAAACGGCATCCACAAAATTATCAAGAAGATTCAGACAGGGTTTGTATAGACTATTCTCTTGATATTAATTCTTTTAGAAGACTTACTATAGGGATACTTTTGAGTTTAACTCATCTTTATATGGCATTGAAATATCAAGAAAAAGATATATTTACCTGTGCTGTGCAGCAAGTACTGACACATCCATAAATGGATCCAGCAAAACTGATGATAATAAAGATTGCAAAAACAATCGTATTTGTTCCATGGAGCGAACGCACGGAGTTCAAGTCTGAGCAAGTTAGTCCATTGTCTGTATCTGATACCAAAGAGAATGAAATGTATTTTTCAGGTATTTTTGCTGTGCATACAGCAGTGTTGAACTATACATACAAGTCAATTAGAAGTTGCAGGAATTTATAATAACTATATTTGTTTGAATAAAAGTGTTTTTGTCTATAGGTTTATACCAAAACACGGATCGGTAAGCTACTGACTGAGTTACTTTCTATCTAGTTTCTTTACTTTCTTTCCAGGCCCCCCCTCCAAATAAAAAAATTTTTCGGAAAGCCAAATTTTTTTCGGAAAACGTTGGCAACGGGGGGGGGGGGGGGGGGGGGGGAGGGGGGATGGGGAGAAGAGGTTTCGAATTTTTTATTTCCTTAATAATATTTAACACGTTCCGCATTCCAACATTTCGGGGGCCCCTCTAGGCTAGTTAGCCCCCTTTTTTACTTTTCTTTGGGGTGTTACACCTTCCCACACTCCCATACCCCACCACACCTCAGGATAAGCGGTCGCTAACCATGCACGCAACTGCGCCAAAGAGAACTCAGTATACGTGGCGAGAGGTTTTATGCGATCTGGTTCGAGTAATGATGTTATGTCTGCTTCGTACTTGAAGCTTGTCTGAATTTATTGTTGTGCAATACTGGACGTGATGTTAATGTAAACGTTTAGTTACTTTCTGTTACACTGTGGAACTGCATGCGCACACTTGGGTACGTATGGTTCAGAATTCTCCCAGTTAACAGGTGTAGCGTGGTATAGTAATATTCATGAACTTACAGTCATAATCGTAATAAAATCTGTTCCTCGAACATCTTGAACCATTCCGGATCGCCCAGAACACAGCCGAGTTGATCAGACAAGCGATCGCGACGACAATTCCCACTGTGTTTGTGGCAAGGGTGGCTCCTAACTTTATGAAGAAAATGGAATATAATTAGAAATGGAATATGAGATGCCGAACCATAATAACAAGTTAAACCAATACACCAGCGCTTTGAACATCCCTTAATTCTGACAATCGCCTGTTCCCATTGCTGTATTATAGCCTCAGTCTTATCTCCTGCTCTGTTCCTAACGTACCTTTTTCTAAAAATCTAATGCTGAAATAATCCAATCGTATTCCATAATTGCCATCCTAAATAACGATTTGCACAACTCGTAGCATAACAGTAGTTTTATTCGGTTGCGATCCGGTAATTTGCATGTTGCGTTGTCTTTTCATTGTTTTGAAAATGTTCACTCACTGATCTGAATGCCATGCACCAGTCATTCACGGAGTCATAGTTTTTAATAGGTATTCGTGACATGCAAACGGCTATAGCCTAATATACAGCTATTTCAATTAAGTTTCTCCACGAGTAAAGCGGAAAAGTCGAATACAAGCGCAAAAGGCTGCTGCATGGGAATCGCTTTGAAAATTCATTAATTTGTTAGCGATTCCCAGCAGCCTTTCCCACTCGTAATCGACTTTTCCGCTTTGCTCGTGGACAACCTTAGACTAGTGTAAAAATACTAAAACAATTATTCGCCTCAGCCCTCAGGCTCGGTAATTATCGGGAATTAGTATAAATTTAATTTGTATATCAAATGAGCTTTCGCACGTTCTGATTGGCTAGTCGACTAGTAAATCGGACGCACTATTTACTAGCAAACTACTAAATGTTGCCTTTCAAAGAGCATGATTCGGCAAAGTTGGTTTCAAAATCAACAAAATATTGAAAAGATCGTCCCCAGAAAACGAAAGAAGCACAAATTAAATGTTGTATTTAACTTGAGAGGTAGGATTCCTTTATTATTTTACTGTGTCAAACATATTCACGGACAATTTAAAACTTATTTATTAAAACTCACGACATCAAACAAATAGCAAAAACTATCCCGACTGTAGGGAAACACCTTGCCGTGATATTCTCTTAAATCCATTTTGTTCTGTATCTTCTATAGATTTCTCAATTTGTACGATACTATTTCTTTTGATATTTCATGCATGTTTTCATTGTGCTGTAACGTGTTTTCGAAACTTGTTTCAAAAACTCATTAATAATTCATGAAGCAATTATCCAATCTTGAGTAAGAAATTAGTCACGTGCATACGTCTTTATACCAGCTAAAGAACACTTTAACAAAAGACCATTGTTATGCAAACTGTATAAAGATTTTTATATAAAGATTTTTATATAAAGATTTTTATATAAAGATTTGACTTATTATGCAAACGTTCTTGAGGCCATTTAAAAAAACTCGCAGGTCGTGTTTTATTAGGTCTAAAGCCACTCGCGCTGCGCGCTCGTGGCTTTAAACCTAATAAAACACTCCTGCTCGTTTTTTAAATGGTACATAAAAGTGAAAAATGTTATTAAAACTTTATTTCGAACGATATAGTTTTAGCTACATTTCATTTTACTAAATTTCTCAGCCATTTCCTCAGAAAATTAATGCCAAACAGAAACTATATTTTTATATATTCTGGTGAAAAAGTCGTTCCGTTATTGTGTTTATATTCTATATGAGCAGAAATCGAGAAAAACAATTAACTTTGTAATTAAAAGCAAAAAATTCACACAAGAAGCCATTTTGAAAGCGTGTGGTGCGCACAAGAAACACTGCAAAAATATTATAGTGACAGTAACCGTGAACAGGCCGAAAACAGCTTTATTTCTGAATTTGAATTGAACTGCATGATATTTGGATATTTTGTTTTATCCATTAAAAATTTATACCAGGGTTCGTACAGCTTCTCCCATTTGAAATTCCATGACTTTTCCATGACTTCCCATGACCATTTTTTTCAAAATCCATGACCTGGAAGTCTGGAATTTTTTAAATCGTTAATATTTTAACGATAACAGATATAATAAAAGAACAAAATTCACTTCGCTCTTGCAAAAATCTGTTATATAACAACAATTCATATTTTTTAATATATACCAATAGTCAAAGTCGTATTTTTCTAGTGTTTTATTAGTTGAGAGCATATCACGTGAGAATGACGAAATTAGACTGTCGACCGGCGAATAACGAAAAAAATCATGTGCACCATCACGTGAAGATGCGACCTTTGGACATGCGTACACACGTAAAAATCTTACATCTTGTAACAAGTCTGCCAACAAACCGTCAACAAGATGTATTCGCACTGCTTGTCACAAGTTGTCAACAGGTTTGGAACAACTTGTTGACAACTTGTAACAACCTTGTCGAAATTATCAGACTTGTTGCAAGGTTGTTCTGACAAGTCTGTTACATGCTTGATATAAAAAGATTGTTGCAACCTTGTGTTGACAACCTTGTAACATCCTTGTTATATCATGAGGCGGTAACAAACTTGTTTGCACAGTCTTGTAACAAGGCTGATAATGCCATCAAGCTTGTTACAAGTTGTTAACAGCTTGTTTCAAACTTGTTACAACAAACCTGGAACAAGCAGTGCGAACACAACTTGTTGACAGCTTGTGAACAGACTTGTAAGAACTTGTTTGCAGACTTGTTACAACTTGTGCGTTTTACGTGTGTAGTACCACACACACAAAAATCTCACATCTTGTAACAAGTTTGTCAACAAGCCGTCAACAAATTGTCTTCGCATTGTTTGTCCCAAGTTGTCAACAAGTTTGGAACAAGCTGTTAACAATTTGTAACAACCTTGTTGATATTATCAGGCTTGTTACAAGGTTGTTCCAACATGTCCGATACAGTCATGATATAGCAAGCAGTATTGTTACAACCTTGTGTCGTCAACCTTGTAACATTCTTGTTTATCATGACTGTATCAGACTTGTTAGAACAACCTTGCAACAAGTCTGATAGTGCCATCAACCTTGTTACAAGTTGTTAACAGCTTGTTCCAAACTTGTTACAACAACTGTGAACAAACAGTGCGAAGACAACTTGTTGACAGCTTGTGAACAGATTTGCAACAACTTGTTTGCAGACTTGTAACAACTTGTGCGTTTTTACGTGTGTAACTGATTAAACTTTCGCTTTAAGTAACTGCAGTTCTTAATTTAACGTTTTAACAGTAAAATATTTCATGTAATTACGTTCATTTCGACCGTCCACGAAACGGTCCACGAAACGGTCTCGGGTCCACAAAACAAACTGTTTAATGTTTCCCTCGGTCTCAGTAAATAAGTGATAATTATTGTTATGACTGGTAAAATACTTTGTTAATGTTATGTAAAATTTCAATTTTCCATGACTTTCAATGACTGAGATTGATTTTCCAGGATTTCCAGGCCTGGATTTTGGAATATTGAAATTCCATGACTTTCCAGGTTTTCCAGAACCCGTACGAACCCTGTTATACTAAAACAATTATTCGCGTCAGGCTCAGTGATTGCGGTAAATATTCACCTCGACTTCGTCTCAGTGAATATTCACCAGTAATCACTTCGCCTTCGACGAATAATTGTTAAATATTCACCTCGACTTCGCCTCGGTGAATATTTAACTGGGAGCGAGCGAAACAGTATGTTTTGTGGACCCGAGACCGCCGAGGCGAATCCCGAGGTCTCAGTAAATAAGTACTTTATTATTTAGTCTAGGACCTGTATAGGAGTTTGTATGCGTTTCATTTACCACAGGTAATCTCAACTGTTTTAGGGTAAAATGACCATGGCGGTCAACATGGCATATGTGCCAAAACCTGAATCCGGGGCGAAAGTCCTGAAAATGACCCCGCCCTGAAACGGCAGTGCCGACATAGCTCTAACTTCCGAAAAGCAAAAGCGACAGCCTTTCTGAAGTGCTTATAGTGTTTAGAAGGGTTGCTTTTAGGGGTGGTCATTGGAAGGAAAAATTTGTCTAAGTATAATATTTTACCAGAAAATGACTATGCGCCACCCCAGGTAAATTGCTGATTATGCACAAAATAACTAATATGCCTGGCAGAAATTTAATGGTCTTATTTCCTAAAAAAAATAAACATGGGATGAAAAACTATGCTTAATATAATATAATTATTGTAGTTTTCATAAGGACTGTCCTTCTTTTCTGTAAATATAATACATTTTAATTCACTCACCCCCCACGAAAACACGATTTCAGCCATATTTTGTCGTCTTGCTTGCTTTTTATCGCCGAATCTCGCACACATCATCCAATTGTTGTACTTTCACATAATGATAGATGGCTAAAGAAGATTTCAACAAAATTTCATGACGTTTTGAAACAGTGCAGTGTATTTTATCTTCGATATCGTGTCTTTCGATATTTCGTCAAATTGCCGCCATTTTAATAGCTCGCCGCTTCTCTGCCCGATAAATGCCACTTCTTCGTCTTCCTGTGTGTTTATATTACAGTATCCAAGAGTAGTTGAACGTTGAATATTCCCAATCGAAAGAATGAAAAGATTAGTTGGGTTTTGATTGCAAAACCCTCTAGGTAAAAAATAAAATACAAAACATTTGAAAGTCACGCGCAATCTTCACGAAAACTTCTCGTGGACACATGACAGGGGGGGTTGAATATTTTCACGAAACGTTTGTTCGCCACCACAGCAACCCAAATAAATATATTATATTTATTG